CTAACACAAGACCTAGAACTAGAATCATTCGGGTTTAGCCATCTTGAGAGACGTACGGCTAAATCCGAATGTTTCTAGTTCTCGGTTTAGTGTGAGTTCTAGTTTTACACTATCACCAGAACTGATACAAAACCTAGAAGTAGAATCATTCGGGTTTAGCCGTCTTGAAAGACGTGCCGCTAAATCCTAATGTTTCCAGTTCTCGGTCTAGTCTGAGTTCTAGTATTGCATTAGCACTATCACTAGAACTAACACAAGACCTAGAACTAGAATCATTCGGGTTTAGCCGTCTTGAGAGACGTGCGGCTAAACCCGAATGTTTCTAGTTCTAGTTTTAATTGTTATTCAACGTTAGATTGTGGTATATTTTTATTGAACGAAAAGTAGAGCTAACACTAGACCTAGAACCTCAAACATTCGGGTTTAGCCGTGCGTCTCATAAGACGGTCGAAAATTCAGGGTTATCATAAGGACGTCACGCTTTTCCAAGCAAAACTTTTCGTTTAGAAAATTACTTGTCCTATAAAACTACTATTAAGCTATGTTGCATTTTATGTGAGACATTGCAAGTGCATAGTAGTTTCGTAACTATGGTTGTTGCATTTACATATTGCGAATTTAGAGTTTATATTGCGTTTAGAGTTATTCAATAGATATCTCATTGATAAATTGGAGATTGCACGTTTTGGAACTACACCTCTCTCATATGAAGTGTATAAATATTTGATTATTTCTGATAAGAGTAGAACACTATTTTTATTAAAAAATATTAGAGCCTAAGACACATTTTTGATGAATACGTAACATTTAACAAGTTGTTTTAAATGAATGTGATGTTGAGGGTTGCTGGGAAAGGATAGCAAAGCGTCTCCACCGCTCCACTCTCATACCTTCGAAAACTTAATGAGTTTATCATTAAGAGCTTCAACATAATTATTAGTATTAAGCATAAGTATTAAGTGATTTTTTTAAATTTTATATAATACATTGAAAAATTAGTGTTAAAAACAATTTGTATTTGAAAATTAATACTTTGTACTAAATTTTATTTCGTAATTTATAGGTTTAGGTCTCGATCTGATCGTGATGAACAATACGGTAAGCAATCTAATTATTGGAACGGTCCACCAAGCCGAACTATTGCTCCAGTTCAAGATTTCGGCGGACCGAAATCCACTCAAACCAACAACAATAAATCGACGGTGACACACGAAACAATGACGAAACCGGTCTGGGACGTTGCAACGTTAAAACCATTCGAAAAGAACTTTTACGTTCCCCATAAGAATAGCACGACCCGTTCGGACGGAGATGTTCAAAATTATCGCCTCGATAGGGAGATTTTTGTGCGGGGTTCCAACGTTCCGATTCCGAGCGAGTGTTTTGAAGAGGGTAGCTTTCCCGATTATATCACCGACGAGTTGATTCGTCAAGGTTTTCAAGAACCGACAGCTATTCAAGCCCAAGGTTGGCCCATTGTGTTGTCCGGCCGCGATTTGGTTGGCATTGCTCAAACAGGATCCGGGAAAACTTTAGCTTACATGCTGCCGGCCACTGTGCATATTAATAGCCAACCAAGAGCTAACCGAGGCGAAGGACCGATCGCTTTGATTCTTGCCCCTACCAGAGAATTAGCTCAACAAATTCAAAAAGTCGCTAGGGATTTCGGATCGTCAACAATGATTCGTAACACGTGCATTTTTGGGGGATCACCTAAAGGACCTCAAGCTCGCGATTTGGAGAGAGGCGTCGAAGTGGTTATAGCTACTCCCGGACGTCTTATCGATTTCTTAGAAAAGGGAACAACAAATTTGTCGAGGTGTACTTATTTGGTGTTGGACGAAGCTGATCGAATGTTGGATATGGGATTTGAACCACAAATTCGTAAGATTATTACACAAATTCGTCCGGATAGACAGGTTTTGATGTGGTCTGCTACTTGGCCTAAACAAGTTCAAGCTCTTGCTGAAGAATTTCTTGTTGACTATATTCAGGTAAAATATTACTTAGCAACACCCCATTTTTTTGTGCCATTATTCATCTCGATCTTATTATCTAAAATGTTTTTGAGAAAGTCGCTGATTAATATCAATTAATTTTCAACTTTGTTATTTGTACACTGACTGAAAAATACGGTGTTAAAAAAGCACTTTGATAAAAGAAAATGAAAATAATTGGAAAACGAAAAGCTAGGTATAAGCAATCCTTATCTAAGTCAACCTATTTGTATACAGTATGTCTCCGGATAGAATTACAAAGAGGAAAAAAAAAATTATTACTGATTTTTCAAACTTATCTCAGCATAAATAATGCGTCGGATAAGTTCAAACCACTAAATAGCACGAACTTTATATTCTATCTATAGAAGTTAACTAATTATTGCCATTTTTATGTAAAAATTATACTTTTCCTAAATTAAAAATTTTTCAAGTTCAATTTACGATATGTAACCATACAAAAACCAATAAAATAAAAGTTACAACTTATGTTAGGGAAAAATATACGGACAAATCAAATTAAAATATGGCTAATTGAATAAAATATTTTGTCCACGACTACCTTAAATCTATTAGATTTGTTCGAGCAGAGAATTAGGTATTAGTTTGTGACAAATTAGTGCATTCATGAATGCGCATGCGCACGTAACGATTAATTGCGAACTAGTACGATATTTGTCACAGCTCGAACAGTTTTTTGTGATATTAATGTAGTATGTTTTTTGTACCTGCTATGTACAGTGTATGTATAAAGTTCGGAACAAAATTTATAATTATTCTCATAAGACTCTAACCGAAATTTACGAATTTATTATACTAATATTAAATCTATCAGCTACATCTCGGAAAGAAGCCGTCTGATGACCAGCAAACCACAGAAATATTAATATATGTTGTTTTTCTGTTAATTTTCCATTTCCTCCGGCTTGATAATTATAATACTGGCTGGCTTTAAATCGATTTGCTAGATCTTCAGCAACTACTCTACTCAAACGAAAATGTTCCATAAATTCTGAGTCGCTATACTGTTGTACTGTTATTTCGAAGTACTCTTCATTTTTTGGCTTTATTCGCACTGGTGTATCAAGTAATTCACCTTCTAGGTCATCATCACTTGACTCAAAATTTACTAAAGGCACATCTTCACTTGACGACGAAATATCGGACATGATTATTTATACTCTGATTTATACTAGGTACTTAAGAACGTGTTAACAACAATTACAGATTAATAAAGCGGATATTGTGTTTACAAATATAAATCGATTGTGTCGCCCTCTCGACGTGCTACGTTTATTACCAACAAACTCGCAAAGTATCCACTGCGCATGACAGTACACAATCCGTCAACAATTTTTCGAAAGTCAGCAAATTGTAAAAACTATACCCAACCAGTACCCAACTAATCCTAAATTCTGATCGAACACACGACTGGTAGTCGAAAAAGTCAGAATTCGGGATTTATTTACTGCTCGAACACCGTTACCATACTGCGCATGCGTCTCCCAATTTGCAGATTGGTTTTGCCGCTGCTCGAACAAACCTATTA